ATTGAGGCTTGTTTTGGGGCCTAGTACATGATCTATCTTGGAAAATGTTCCATTCAAACTAGGAGTAAAAGTGTAAACTGCAGTTTTTTCATTAAATGCTTTATCATTTAATCTGGCAGTGAAGGCAATTATATTATTTTTTAAATATTTTTTTATATATCTTTAGAAGGGAAAGGGAAGGAGACAGGGAGAGAAATATCAATGTATGGTTGCTTCTCGTGCAGCCCCTGCTGGGAACTGGCCTGCAACCCAGGCATGTGCACTGACTGGGAATTGAACTGTGATCCTTTGGTTTGCAGGCCCGTGCTCAATCCACTGAGCTGCACCAGCCAGGGCAGGCAATTATATTCTTAATATTTTCAATATGGTCTTTCAAATAAAATGATGCTTTGTAGACATCTCATATCAGATTTCACTTTAAAAAAACCCACTAAAGTCTGGATGTTAAGTGGTAACACACAGTACCATATACACAATACTTATAAAAATTTGCACTTGAAACTGATGGAATTTTATTAATTAGTGTGACACCAATAAATTGAATATTTTACAAAATTGAGGCAAGTGCTTTTTGAAGCAACCTATTACAATAGAGAGAACACTATTTAAATTTATATAACTTACTAACCTCAGGTGAAAATTTGATGGTGTAAGTTTTTATTTCATTATCAAGAAAGCTCAGAGAGAGCAAAAAAAAGGCTGGAAATAAGAAAGTTGGTGGTTTTCATTAGGGAACTCTTACCAGGTCTGTACAGCTGACTCTGTGGGCTGACCTGAGATTCTGACCCTATGTTCTCTGGGTGCCAGAGGTTCATGACATGGAAGTGGAGGTGGAAGGGCACCAGTGCAAGGCCAGCAGCTGCAATGGAAGTAACAGAAAGAGTTCACATCTTCAGGCAGGATTGAACCCAATGCAGGATGATGCCAGGCCCTCTTAACATACAACCCACTGCTTGCCTCTTGAATGCACACTCTGTGAGGGAAAAAAGAGGGTGCTTTTAAAGATGAAATTGTTTTGTCATTACTGTGGCCACTGGGAAACATCCCTCAGTGATTGACAGTAACAGAAACAGTAACTGATAACTGCAATGATGATATTATACATGCTCCAGTTTCTGTGTGTGTGTGTATGTGTGTGTGTGTGTGTGTGTGTGTGTGTGTGTGTGTGTGTGTGGCTGTGGTCTGCGGCCGCCCGGGTCTACCGGCCGGCCCGGTGGGGCTCGGGCTGGGGTCGGCGGCCGGCCCGAGTCTACCGGCCTGCCCGGCGGAGCTCGGACTGTGGTCGGCGCCCGGCCAGGTGGGACTCTGTCTGTGGGCGGGAGCCGCCCGGGTCTACCTCCCGGCCCGGTGGGGCTCTGTCAGTGAAGGGCCGGCGCCCTGGTCAACCATCCGGCCCGGCTGGGCTCGTGCTGGGGGCGGTAGCTGGTCTGGTCTACCTTCCGGCTCTCCCGGGTCTTAGCACGTGTGCGGCGGCCGCCCGGGTCAACCAGCTGGCCCGGCCGGGCTCGGGTTGTGTTCGGCGGCCGCCCAGGAAAACCAGCCGGCCCGGCCGGGCTCGAGCTGTGGTCTGCGGCCCCCCGGGTCAACCAACCGGCACGGCGGTGCTCGGGCTGTGTTCGGCGGCCACACGGGTCTACCAGTCCTCCCGGCGGGGCTCGGGCTGTGGTGGAACAGCAGGCCGATTAAACCGGCCGGCTCGGAGAGGCTCGGGCTGTGGTCGGCGGCCGCCCGGGTCAACCAGCCGGCTTGGCCGGGCACAGGCTATGGTCGGCGGTAGCCCGGGTCAACCAGCCGGCACAGCGGGGCTCGGGCTGTGGTCGGTGGCCACACGGGTCTACCAGTCCTCCCGGCGGGCCTCGGGCTGTGGTCGGCGGCCGCCCGGGTCAACCAGCCGGCCTGGACGGGCTCGGGCTGTGGTCGGCGTGCGCCCGGGTCAACCAGCCGGCCCGGCGGGGCTCGGGCTGTGGTCAGCGGCCGCCCGTGTCAACCAGCCGGCTTGGCCGGGCTCGGGCTGTGGTCGGCGTGCGACCCGGTCAACCAGCCGGCTTGGCCGGGCACGGGCTGTGGTCGGCGGTAGCCCGGATCAACCAGCCGGCCCAGCGGGGCTCGGGCTGTGGTCGGCGGCCGCCCGGGTCTACCAGCCGGCTTGGCTGGGCTTGGGCTGTGTTCGGCGCCCGCCTGGGTCAACCGGCCGGCCCGGCCGGGCTCGGGCTGTGGTCGGAGGCTGCCCGGGTCTACCAGCCGGCAAAGCCGGCCTCGGGATGCGGTCGGCGCCCGCCCGGGTCAACCAGCCGGCCCGGCGGGGCTCCGGCTGTGGTCGGCGGCCGCCCGGGTCTACCAGCCAGGCCGGCGGGGCTCGTGCTGTGGTGGAACAGCAGGCCGGGTAAACCGGCCGGCCCGGGGGGCTCGGGCTGTGGAGGAGCGACCGCCGGGGGCAAACATGCCGGCCCGGAGAGGCTCCGGCTGTGGTCCGCGGCCGCCCGCGTTAACCAGCGGGCTTGGCCGGGATCGGGCTGTTGTCGGCGGCCCACCGGGTAAACCAACCAGCACCGCGGGGCTCGGGCTGTGTTCGGCAGCCGCCCGGGTCAACCTGCCGGCCCAGAGAGGCTCGGGCTGTGGGCGCGGCCGCCCGGGTCTACGGGCCGGCCCGGCGGGGCTCGGGCTGTGGTGGAGCGGCCGCCGGGGCCAAACCAGCCGGCCCGGAGAGGCTCCGGCTGTGGTCGGCGGCCGCCCGGGTCAACATGCCGACACGGTCCGGCTCGGGCTATGGGCGGGCGGGGGCCCCCCGGGTCAACCAACCAGCACGGCGGGGCTCGGGCTGTGGTCGGCGGCCATCCGGGTCTACCAGCCGGCCCAGAGAGGCTCCGGCTGTGGTCGGCAGCCGCCCGGGTCTACCAGCCGGCCCGGCGGGGCTCGTGCTGTGGTGGAAAAGCGGGCCGATTAAACCGGCCGGCCTGGAGACGCTCTGGCTGTGGTCGGCGGCCGCCCGGGTTAACCGGCTGGCTTGGCCGGGCTCGAGCTGTGTTCGGCGCCCGCCCGGGTCAACCGGCCGGCCCGGCTGGCCTCGGGCTGTGGTTGGAGGCTTCCCGGGTCTACCAGCCCGCAAAGCCGGCCTCGGGCTATGGTCGGCAGCCGCCCGGGTCTACCAGTCAGCCCGGCCGGGCTCGGGCTGTGGTCGGCGGCCATCCGGGTCTACCAGCCGGCCCAGAGAGGCTCCGGCTGTGGTCGGCGGCCGCCCGGGTCTACCAGCCGGCCCGGCGGGGCTCGTGCTGTGGTGGAAAAGCGGGCCGATTAAAACGGCCGGCCTGGAGACGCTCTGGCTGTGGTCGGCGGCCGCCCGGGTTAACCGGCTGGCTTGGCCGGGCTCGAGCTGTGGTCGGCGGTCCCCCGGGTCAACCAACCGGCACGGCGGGGCTCGGGCTGTGTTCGGCGGCCGCCCTGGTCAACCTGCCGGCCCGGAGAGGCTCCGGCTGTGGTCGGCAGCCGCCCGGGTCAACATGCCGACACGGTCGGGCTCGGGCTGTGGGTGGGGCCGCCTGGGTCTACCAGCCGGCAAGGCCGGCCTCGAGCTGTGGTCGGCCACCGCCCGGGTCTACCGCCGGCCAGGCGGGGCTCGGGCTGTGGTCGGCCACCGCCCGGGTCAACCAGCTGGCTTGGCCGGGCTCGGGCTGTGGTCGGCGGCCATCCGGGTCTACCAGCTGGCTTGGCCGGGCTCGGGCTGTGGTCGGCGTGCAACCGGGCCAACCAGCCGGCAGGGCCGGGCTTGGGCTGTGTTCGGCAGCCGCCCGGGTCAACCGGCCGGACCGGCAGGGCTCGGGCTGTGGTAGGCGGACGCCGGGGTCTACCAGTCGGCCCGGCTGGCCTCGGGCTGTGGTCGGCGGCCGGCCGGGTCTACGGGCCGGCCCGGCGGGTCTCGGGCTCTGGTAGGCGGCCGCCCGCGACTACCGGCCGGCCCGGCGATGCTCGTGCAGAGGTGAAGCGGCCGACCGGGTAAACCGGCCGGGCCGGCGGTCCTCGGGCTGTGGTCGACGTGCGCCCGGGTCAACCAGACAGCCCGGCGGGGCTCGGGCTGTGGTCGGCGGCCGCCCGGGTCTACCAGCCTGCTTGGCCGGGCTCGGGCTGTGGTCGGCGGCCACCCGGGTCTACCAGTCGGCCCGGCCGGGCTCGGGCTGTGGTCGGCGGCCGCCCGGGTCTACCAGCCAGCCCGGCGGGGCTCGTGCTGTGGTGGAATAGCAGGCCGGGTAAACCGGCCGGCCCGGGGGGCTCAGGCTGTGGAGGAGCGGCCGCCAGGGGCAAACATGCCGGTCCGGAGAGGCTCCGGCTGTGGTCGGCGGCCGCCCGCCTTAACCAGCTGGCTTGGCCGGGCTCCGGCTGTTGTCGGCGGCCCCCCGGGTCAACCAACCGGCACGGCGGGGCTCGGCTGTGTTCCGCAGCTGCCCAGGTCAACCGGCCGTCCTGGCGGGGCTCGGGCTGTGTTCGGCGGTAGCCCGGGTCAACCGGCCGGCTTGGCCGGGCTCAGGCTGTGGTGGAACAGCAGGCCGGGTAAACCGGCCGGCCCGGGGGGCTCGGGCTGTGGTGGAGCGTCCGCCGGGGGCAAACCAGCCGGCCCGGAGAGGCTCCGGCTGTGGTCGGCGGCCGCCCGGGTCAACATGCCGACACGGTCGGGCTCGGGCTGTGGGCGGGGGCCGCCCGGGTCAACCGGCCGGCCCGGTGGGGCTCTGGCTGTGGGCGGCGGCCGCCCGGGTCTAGGGGCCGGCCCTGCGGGTCTCGGGCTGTGGTGGAGCGGCCTCCGGGGGCAAACCAGCCGGCCCGGAGAGGCTCCGGCTGTGGTCGGCGGCCACCCGAGTTAACCAGCTGGCTTGGCGTGGCTCAGGCTGTTGTCGGCGGCCCCCCGTGTCAAGCAACCGGCACGGCGGGGCTCGGCTGTGTTCGGCGGCCGCCCGGGTCAACTTGCCGGCCCGGAGAGGCTCCGGCTGTGGTCGGCGGCCACCCGGGTCAACATGCCGACACGGTCAGGCTCAGGCTGTGGGCGGGGGCCGCCCGGGTCAACCGGCCGGCCCGGCGGGGCTCGGGCTGTGGGCGGCGGCCGCCCGGGTCTACCGGCCGGCCCGGCGGGTCTCGGGCTGTTGTGGAGCGGCCTGCCGGGTCAACCAGCCGACCCAGAGAGGCTCCGGCTGTGGTCGGCGGCCGCCCGGGTCTACCAGCCGGCCCGGCGGGGCTAGTGCTGTGGTCAGCGGCCCCCCGGGTCAACCAGCCGGCTTGGCCGGGCACAGGCTGTGGTCGGCGGTAGCCCGTGTCAACCAGCCGGCCCAGCGGGGCTCGGGCTGTGGTCGGCGGCCGGCTGGGTCTACAGGCCGGCCCGGCGATGCTCGTGCAGAGGTGAAGCGGCCGACCGAGTAAACCGGCCGGGCCGGCGGTCCTCGGGCTGTGTTCGGCAGCCGCCCGGGTCATCCGGCCGGCCCGGCCGGGCTCGGGCTGTGGTCGGCGTGCGCCCAGGTCAACCAGCCGGCCCGGCGGGGCTCCGGGTGTGGTGGGCGGCCGCCCGGGTCTACCAGCCGGCTTGGCCGGCCTCGGGCTGTGTTCGGCGGCCGCCCGGGTCATCCGGCCTGCCCGGCCGGGCTCGGGCTGTGGTCGGCGTGCGCCCGGGTCAACCAGCGGGCCCAGCGGGGCTCCGGGTGTGGTCGGCGGCCGCCCGGGTCTACCAGCCGGCTTGGCCGGGCTCGGGCTGTGTTCGGCAGCCGCCCGGGTCCAGCAGTCGCCCCGGCCGGGCTCGGGCTGTGGTCGGCGGCCGCCTGGGACTACCAGTCGGCCCGGCCGGCCTTGGGCTGTGGTCGGCGGCCGCTCGGGTCAACCAGTCAGCTTGGCCGGGCTCAGGCTGTGGTCGGCGGCCACCCGGGTCAACCAGCCGGCTTGGCCGGGCTCGGGCTGTGTTCGGCGGCCGCCCGGGTCAACCGGCCGGCACGGCCAGCCTCGGTCTGTGGTCGGAGGCCGCCGGGGTCTACCAGCCGGCAGGCCAGCCTCGGGCTGTGGTCGGCAGCCGCCCGGGTCAACCGGCCATCCTGGCCGGCCTCGGGCTGTGTTCGGCGGTAGCCCGGGTCTACCAGCCGGCCCGGCGGGGCTCGTGCTGTGGTGGAACAGCAGGCCGGGTAAACCGGCCGGCACGGGGGGGCTCGGGCTGTGGAGGAGCGGCCGCCGGGGGCAAACATGCCGGCCCGGAGAGGCTCCAGCTGTGGTCCGCGGCCGCCCGCGTTAACCAGCGGGCTTGGCCGGGCTCGGGCTGTTGTCCGCGGCCCCCGGGGTCAACCAACCGGCACGGCCGGGCTCAGGCTGTGTTCGGCAGCCGCCCGGGTCAACCTGGCGGCCCGGAGAGGCTCCGGCTGTGGTCGGCGGCCGCTCGGGTCAACATGCCGACACGGTCGGGCTCGGGCTGTGGGCGGGGGCCGCCCGGGTCAACCAGCCGGCCCAGCCGGGCTCGGGCTGTGTTCCGCGGACGCCTGGGTCTCCCAGTCGGCACGGCCGGCCTCGGGCTGTGGTCGGAGGCTGCCCGGGTTTCCCAGTCGGCCAGGCCGGGCTCGGGCTCTGGTCGGCGGCCGCCCGGGTCAACCGGCCATCCTGGCGGGGCTCGGGCTGTGTTCGGCGGTAGCCCGGGTCAACCGGCCGGCTTGGCCGGGCTCGGGCTGTGGTGGAACAGCAGGCCGGGTAAACCGGCCGGCCCGGGGGGCTCGGGCTGTGGTGGAGCGGCTGCCGGGGGCAAACCAGCCGGCCCGGAGAGGCTCCGGCTGTGGTCGGCGGCCGCCCGGGTCAACCTGCCGGCCCGGAGAGGCTCCGGCTGTGGTCGGCGGCCGCCCGGGTCAACCGGCCGGCCCGGCGGGGCTCGGGCTGTGGGCGGCGGCCGCCTGGGTCTACGGGCCGGCCCGACGGGTCTCGGGCTGTGGTGGAGCGGCCGCCGGGGGCAAACCAGCCGGCCCGGAGAGGCTCCGGCTGTGGTCGGCGGCCACCCGAGTTAACCAGCTGGCTTGGCGTGGCTCAGGCTGTTGTCGGCGGCCCCCCGTGTCAACCAACCGGCACGGCGGGGCTCCGGCTGTGGTCGGCGGCCGCCCGGGTCAACCAGCCGGCCTGGACGGGCTCGGGCTGTGGTCGGCGTGCGACCGGGTCAACCAGCCGGCTTGGCCGGGCACGGGCTGTGGTCGGCGGTAGCCCGGGTCAACCAGCCGGCCCAGCGGGACTCGGGCTGTGGTCGGCGGCCGCCCGGGTCTACCAGCCGGCTTGGCCAGGCTCGGGCTGTTGTCGGCGGCCCCCCGGGTCAACCAACCGGCACGGCGGGGCTCGGGCTGTGTTCGGCAGCCGCCCGGGTGAACCTTCCGGCCCGGAGAGGCTCCGGCTGTGGTCGGCGGCCGCCCGGGTCAACATACCGACACGGTCGTGCTCGGGCTGTGGGCGGGGGCCTCCCGGGTCAACCACCCGGCCCGGCCGGGCTCGGGCTGTGGTCGGCGGACGCCCGGGTTTCCCAGTCGGCCCGGCCGGGCTCGGGCTCTGGTCGGCGGCCGCCCGGGTCAACCGGCCGTCCTGGCGGGGCTCGGGCTGTGTTCGGCGGTAGCCCGGGTCAACCGGCCGGCTTGGCCGGGCTCGGGCTGTGGTGGAACAGCAGGCCGGGTAAACCGGCCGGCCCGGTGGGCTCGGGCTGTGGTGGAGCGGCTGCCGGGGGCAAACCAGCCGGCCCGGAGAGGCTCCGGCTGTGGTCGGCGGCCGCCCAGGTCAACATGCCGACACGGTCGGGCTCGGGCTGTGGGCAGGGGCCGCCCGGGTCAACCAGCCGGCCCGGAGAGGCTCCGGCTGTGGTCGGCGGCCGCCCGGGTCAACATGCCGACACGGTCGGGCTCGGGCTGTGGGCAGGGGCCACCCGGGTCAACCAGCCGGCCCGGCCGGGCTCGGGCTGTGGTGGGCGGACGCCCGGGTCTCCCAGTCGGCCCGGCCGGCCTCGGGCTGTGGTGGAGGCCGGCCGGGTTTACCAGTCGGCCCGGCCAGGCTCGGGCTGTGGTTGGCGGCCGCTCGGGTCAACCGGCCGTCCTGGCGGGGCTCGGGCTGTGTTCGGCGGTAGCCCGGGTCAACCGGCCGGCTTGGCCGGGCTCGGGCTGTGGTGGAACAGCAGGCCGGGTAAACCGGCCGGCCCGGGGTGCTCCGGCTGTTGTGAAGCGGCCGCCGGGGGCAAACCAGCCGGCCCGGAGAGGCTCCGGCTGTGGTCGGCGGCCACCCGAGTTAACCAGCTGGCTTGGCCGGGCTCGGGCTGTGTTCGGCGGCCGCCCGGGTCAATCTGCCGGCCCGGAGAGGCTCTGGCTGTGGTCGGCGGCCGCCCGGGTCAACATGCCGACACGGTCGGGCTAGGGCTGTGGGCGGGGGTTGCCTGGGTCTACCAGCCGGCAAAGCCGGCCTCAGGCTGTGGTCGGCGGCCGCCCGGGTCTACCAGTCGGCCCGGCCGGGCTCGGGCTGTGGTCTGCCGCCGCACGGGTCTACCAGCCTGCTTGGCCGGTCTCGGGCTGTGTTCGGCGGCCGCCCGGGTCAACCGGCCGGCACGGCCACCCTCGGGCTGTGGTCAACAGCCGCCCGGGTCAACCGGCCATCCTGGCGGGGATCGCGCTGTGTTCGGCGGTAGCCCGGGTCAACCAGCCGGCCCGGCCGGGCTCGGGCTGTGGTCGGCGGACGCCCGGGTCTACCAGCCGGCCCGGCCGGCCTCGGGCTGTGGTCGGAGGCTGCCCGGGTCTACCAGCCGGCAAAGCCAGCCTCGGGCTGTGGTCGGCGGCCGCCCGGGTCTACCAGTCGGCCGGGCCTGGCTCGGGCTGTGTTCGGCGGCCGCCCCGGTCAACTGGCCGGCACGGCCGGCCTCGGGCTGTGGTCGAAGGCCGCCCGGGTCTACCAGCCGACCCGGCGGGGCTCGTGCTGTGGTGGAACAGCAGGCCGGGTAAACCGGCCGGCCCGGGGGGCTCGGGCTGTGGTAGAGCGGCCACCGGGGGCAAACCAGCCGGCCCGGAGAGGCTCCGGCTGTGGTCGGCGGCCGCCCGGGTCAACATGCCGACACGGTTGGGCTCGGGCTGTGGGCAGGGGCCGCCCGGGTCAACCAGCCGGCCCGGTCGGGCTCGGGCTGTGGTGGGCAGACGCCCGGGTCTCCCAGTCGGCCCGGCCGGCCTCGGGCTGTGGTGGAGGCCGGCCGGGTTTACCAGTCGGCCCGGCCAGGCTCGGGCTGTGGTTGGCGGCCGCCCGGGTCAATCTGCCGGCCCGGAGAGGCTCTGGCTGTGGTCGGCGGCCGCCCGGGTCAACATGCCGACACGGTCGGGCTCGGGCTGTGGGCGGGGGTTGCCTGGGTCTACCAGCCGGCAAGGCCGGCCTCGAGCTGTGGTCGGCCACCGCCCGGGTCTTCTAGCCTGCTTGGCCGGACTCGGGCTGTGGTCGGCGGCCACCCGGGTCTACCAGTCGGCCCGGCCGGCCTCGGGCTGTGGTCGGAGGCTGCCCGGGTCTACCAGCTGGCAAAGCCGGCCTCGGGCTGTGGTCGGCGGCCGCCCGGGTCTACCAGTCGGCCGGGCCTGGCTCGGGCTGTGGTCGGCGGTCACCCGGGTCTACCAGCCTGCTTGGCCGGCCTCGGGCTGTGGTCGGAGGCCGCCCGGGTCTACCAGCCGGCAATGAGA